TGCAACGAACAAAACAAAGAAGCGCTCGAATTACGTAAACGATTAGGAGAAAGAATCTTCGAACTAGAAAGAGAAGAAACCCGCTCGCGCAGAAGTGTAGCAACGTCTCAAGCTACGAATAAAAGTATCCAAAGGATGAAAATTCTTCTCGCCCAAAAGGAAGTTGACCTAAAATACGCCCGTTTGCAAGCAGAATTCGAACTAGAGCTACAACGAAAGAGATTTGAATTTGAAGAGTTGCAAAGAATGAAGAGTTACGAAATGGCGAAGGCCGAGAAAGACCTGATGGAGGAATTCGATGATAGATCATGCTTATCCGAAGCAAATCTCGGTCGACTCGAAACGCAGAGTAAAGATGATAACGTCCGGCGTTACATAACATCGATGCACGGTTTTAAGCAAACACATCTCAGAGGTCAAAACGACGCAAACATGAAAACCGGAAATCAGATAGGCGACGTGATTGACGGCTCCAATAAACCAAACGATAACGAACACAACGCAGACATCAAGACCGGAAACGACGCGATTGACGATTTTAATACGCCAAGTGATAACGATAACGAACTGAACGGAAATCAGAAAGAAAACGATGAACATGAGACCTCGAATCAAAATGTCAACAACCCAATTGACAATGGAAATATACCCATCGAAAGGCCAAATAAGGAGATCGCGTCTACTGGAAGTCATTATTTTGGTGGAAATCGCGAAACTTACAACAAAGGTGGAAGCAAGCAGCACGAAAGGGACCTTGTACCAGGCACAGGAATCTCGAAGGATATCATACCGAACACAGGAAACCCAGCCACTCCAGGTAATCGAAATACTCGCCATCCAATGCGTTATACAGATAACGACAACGTAAGTCCTCAAGAACGCCGAACTCTGATTCCACCAGCAATATTCCGCCAACCTCCTATCCACACTTCAACTCCTCAGATAGTACCGAAGGGCGAAAATCAACAATCTCATGCCAGTACTGCCTGCGATGGAGCTAAAGAAACCGTTAACGCTTTCTCAACGCCTCCCCACGTGCCAGGTTATTCCCGCGCTTATCAGTATTCCATACCAGTTCATCAGCCATCGGTTCAAGAATTCGGCTCGGCGATTGCAGAGAGTATGGAAGCAGCTCGTCTGCCAACGCCCAAGCTTAATGTCTTTAGCGGTAACCCGTTAGAATGGCCTACCTGGAAAGCTGCCTTTGAAGCTGTAATTGAAAAAAGAGTAACAAACGTCAGTGAGAAGATCCTTTACCTACAACAGTATCTCGCCGGAGAACCAAGGAAAATCGTGGAAGGATACCAATTTGTTCAGACAGCTGAAGCATACCAGGAGGCCAAGAAAACGTTAGAGAGACGTTTTGGACATCCGTCTGTCGTTGCTGAAGCCTTTAGAAACAAGCTGACAAACTGGCCTCGAATCGCCCCCAAGGAAGGAAGAGATTTGCGTGAATTTGCAGACTTCTTGAAGACATGCGAGCTTGCAATGCAGTCAGTAGAAGATTTAGAAACGCTGAACAAACAACATGAGAACAAACAATTACTTAAAATCCTGCCAAGCTGGATGCACCCAAAATGGGGTACAAAGGTGAGGGAATTTCAACTCGCACACGGTGACTCGAAATTTCCTCCCTTCAAATCATTTGTTGAATTTGTGGCCAGTACAGCAGAAGTCCAATGCCTACCTGTGTTGACTGGACTTAGCGACACAAGCAAACCGTCAAGGGTAAAGCCCAGAACTAACATCCTCAACAGCGCTTCTACCCTATCTACCGAAACTAAAGGCACCTTAAGCAATGATCACAAGACCCCACTATGTCTGTGGTGTAAGAAGGGTAATCATCACCTAAATGCTTGTTTCGAGTTTGCAAAGAAACACATTAAAGAGCGAACAAAATTTGTGATCAGAAAGGGACTTTGTCTCCGTTGTCTACAGCACGGTCACATGTCCAAGGAAAACAAATGCAAGGAGATCACTACTTGTTCCCGATGTAAACAGCAACATCCCACTTGTCT